CAGAGAGAGAGACCAGAGAGAGACCAGAGAGGGACCAGAGAGGGACCAGAGAGAGACCAGAGAGGGACCAGAGAGAGAGACCAGAGAGAGACCAGAGAGAGAGACCAGAGAGGGACCAGAGAGAGAGACCAGAGAGAGACCAGAGAGAGAGACCAGAGAGAGATTCCGTTAAACTAATAAGTTAAATGAGTGTAACTATGATGTCATGTGAACCTGCTTCTTAGTTTTGCTAAAGTGAGATTTTGTTTGTATCTTTGTTGTTGTTCTGTTTGATCTGAATCACAGAGAAACAAAGAGAATAAACGTCTTGTGGTCGTTCACTCGTTCTTGCTGCGGCCGTAACGTGTTTGTGAAAGTGTTCAGTCCGAGAGTCCCTGTGACTAAACCCGGGTCGGTCTGGGCCGTCTCTGAGAGCGGCCTCTGAAAGACAGGCCTCCCCTCCCCTTCCTTTGGTCTCGCTCTAATCCTTTCCTCTGCTTGTTTAGAGGTGAACAGCTCTGGATGAATGAGACAGAAAGTGTTGCTTTGTGCGAGTGACGGGGAACCCTCGCCCCTTTCCAAAGACAGACAAGGAAAAGGCGTCATTAACACGCGGCATAAAAGAGTCTAAGACAAAGGCCGACTCTGGGACTTTATTAGGGTTGTGGAGTCCCTGGTTCTTTCTGCTTCATGGTAGCGTGAGCCAGCAGTCAGTGAGGAGGCGGGCTGGGAACGCAGGACGTGGTCAGGGGTTAGAAAATCATGAATGATGATTATTAGGTCACGGCCCCCTGGTGGGCAGAGTGTAGTACTGCATAAACACAGTCATTAGGAACCTGAGATAATCAACCGCAATACGAGAGAGAGAGAGAAAGAGAGAGAGACGAAGAGAGAGGCCAGAGAGAGAGAGAGAGAGACCAGAGACGAAGAGAGAGACCAGAGACAGACTAGAGAGAGAGACCAGAGAGAGACTAGAAAGAGACCAGAGTGACCAGAGAGAGACCAGAGAGAGAGACCAGAGAGAGAGACCAGAGAGAGGGACCAGAGAGTGCATAAACTCATTAAAACCTGGAGTAATCAAAGCCAATATGTCAATACATCTTAGTGTCAATAGCTGTGACTCTGAGTTAGAGAAATATAAAAGAACAAATGTCACAGAGTGGACTCGGACAGCGGAGGTGTCTGTCTGAGCTCACATCAGGGAGGGCTTAAAGAGATGGAAACCGTTTAGCTCAGCAGTTCATCACTGGCAGACGTAAAATGATATTTTCCTCAGGCTCTTATCTCTCAGACTTGACCTGAAGTCTAATGCCGTTGTTCCACAGTGTCGGTTCAGTTCATTTCGGTACGGTACGGCGCACCTATTTTGCTTTTCCACTAGTGGATGGAATGGGAGATTTGAGTATTTTTCCGTACTGCCTCAGCCGTGGTTCCATCCCAATAGTACCCGTGCCATGACGTCACGTCGGCCCACTGCCTCACACTGATTGGTCAACGAGTGTCGTCACTGGAAGCGACCTCTGACCCTTTGGGAAAAACAACTCAACCGCCATCTTTAAAACCGGCTGCTCTGCTCGGCTCTGCTTCGGCTACATTACGTTTTCCTCACTCCAGAGAAATGGAATTGCACAGAAAGCCCCAAAAGTCCTGGTCCTGGTCGGTGGAAGAGGTCCACACGTTCCTCTCTTCAGGCCAAAGAAAGAATTCAAAGGCAGCTCGAGGCTCAACACAGTTTTCAGGAGATCGCTCTGGATTTGTGACTAGTCTGTGGTAATCCTGAAATAACTGGTTAGATACGAACCCCCTAAAGCTCTCACTGAAATGTATTTACTGTGTAAATGCTTGATTGTCTATTGTACACAGTGAGCTAGCTACATTTAGCTTCATTTAGCTATTGATAGCAGCTAAGCTAACGTCCTCCCTGTGCTACTGTGCTTTATCTCGTATTATCTGCAGTATTCACGTGTTGTCATTCTGTTTTGTGCTTGTATTTAAGTTGTTGTGTGTATATTTGTTTGAGAATCCCTTCCCATAAGTGTGGAGATTACCAACGAGTAATGAGTGACCGGAGTATTCTCATCTGGACCTGGTCTGGACCTGGTCTGGACCTGGTCTCTGACATACGTACATACGACTTTGTAAACTGTTGGTTTTGCACTTTACTTTTGTTTTCAATAAATCTGTGATTGTATCCCAAGACTGTGTTTCATTCATTTATTATTATTGTAGCTGAGGTTTGGGTATCGATTGTTTGTCTGGTCTCGGAGTCTGCTGTAGTCCGGACCCGAGTCCGGACTAGCCTAGCTTAGCCTAGCCTAGCCGCTAACTCGCTACCCCTATGGCTGCCGCTGTCTCTCCCTCGGTCCTTTACTGCTCGAGTTGCCATATGACGAGTTTAAACCCTGGATCCTCCTCTGAGGGCAGTGATAGATGTGTTAAGTGTAGTATAGTAGTAGCTTTGGAATCCAGGGTTAGTGAGTGAGCAGCGTCTCGAGCTAGCGCTAGCATTAGCTATAGCCTAGCAGTATCCTCGGACATGCAGCCCTCCTCCTCTGCTACACAGGCTGCTGTTGCTACAGGTCCATTCAGATTGTACAGAGCAGTCAGCACCATTGACTTCACAGTGTCTGAGTCATTCTTTTAAGACATAAGCATTTTCAAAAACTACTCGTGCTGTGCTGAATTTTCTATTAAACACTTGCTCTGGTATTATAATAAATCCATGCACCGCAACAGTACTAGTTACGCGTCACACGTAAATGACGTGGTCTGACAACGCTGAGGACATACTATTTTTGATGGAAAAGCACGAGAACTGGGCCATGGCGCGCCGTGTAGAGTCAAAACGTACCGTACTCGGACCGTGGAAAAACGGCATAATACACAAACACATACTGACAGGTCCAGGACTGAGGCTGTACACCCAGGACTGAGGCTGTAGACCCAGGACTGAGGCTGTAGACCCAGGACTGAGGCTGTAGACCCAGGACTGAGGCTGTAGACCCAGGACTGAGGCTGTAGACCCAGGACTGAGGCTGTAGACCCAGGACTGAGGCTGTAGATCCAGGACTGAGGCTGTAGACCCAGGACTGAGGCTGTAGACCCAGGACTGAGGCTGTAGACCCAGGACTGAGGCTGTAGACCCAGGACTGAGGCTGTAGACCCAGGACTGAGGCTGTAGACCCAGGACTGAGACTGTAGATCCAGGACTGAGGCTGTAGACCCAGGACTGAGGCTGTAGACCCAGGACTGAGGCTGTAGACCCAGGACTGAGGCTGTAGACCCAGGACTGAGGCTGTAGACCCAGGACTGAGGCTGTAGACCCAGGACTGAGGCTGTAGACCCAGGACTGAGGCTGTAGACCCAGGACTGAGGCTGTAGGTCTTGAATGTCTTTCATTCACTGAAAGAGTTCGACAAAGATTGTGTATTGTTTTTATTTGTTTCTTTGTTCCTACTAAATCTAACTTTTTCCTGCGGTCTTTCTGTAAAACAACCACTTCCTCGTTCATCGGCCAAATGCAAACACAAATGTAAGTTGTTTTGATAAGAGAGAGAGTGAGAGAGAGTGAATGTGAGTGAGAGAGAGAGAGTATTGTCAGGGTTCACAGACCTGAGAGTCCTGTATTGTGTGAGAACGATGGAAAGGGAGGGGGAGTGAGCGGAGAGGAAAAGCAGAGGAAATATGGAAGTAACAATCATAATAAACAAGTGTAAGGTCCGGATGGCGACCTGGGACCAGAGAGAGACCAGAGAGAGACCAGAGAGAGACCAGAGAGAGACCAGAGAGAGACCAGAGACCAGAGAGAGACCAGAGAGAGGCCAGAGAGAGGCCAGAGAGAGAGACCAGAGAGAGACCAGAGAGAGACCAGAGAGAGACCAGAGAGAGACCAGAGAGAGACCAGAGAGAGACCAGAGACCAGAGAGAGACCAGAGAGAGACCAGAGAGAGGCCAGAGAGAGGCCAGAGAGAGAGACCAGAGAGAGACCAGAGAGAGACCAGAGAGAGACCAGAGAGAGACCAGAGAGAGAGGCCAGAGAGAGGCCAGAGAGAGGCCAGAGAGAGGCCAGAGAGAGAGACCAGAGAGAGACCAGAGAGAGAGACCAGAGAGAGAGACCAGAGAGAGAGACCAGAGAGAGACCAGAGAGAGACCAGAGAGAGATCTGAGAGAGACCAGAGAGAGACCAGAGAGAGATCTGAGAGATAGACCAGAGGGAGACCAGTGAGAGTCCATAGGGAGACGAGAAAAAGACCAGAGAGAGAGACCAATAAAGCCACAAACTTCAGGTTTGATAAAAACAACATATTTTCCGTCTGCGTCACCGTCTCATGTGTCCCACTGTTCACACCTGCGTCAGTTACAACCAGGACAGAGAAAGACAGGACTCTTCCCAAATTCACAGTGTGGAGTCAGGAAGCACACCGGCTTATCAGGACAGACACACAACGCTGTCCTGGCCGTGTGTGTGTGTCTGTATGTGGGTGTGTGTGTCTGTATCTGAGTGAGTGAGTGTGTGTGCGACGGTGGGAGGCACTTCCTCCTATTCTTCTGCTGTGAGAGAGTTCCCAGAGAGTTCCCAGGACCCACACAGACCAGAGAGACCATAGAGTCCAAACAGAGAGTCCACATTGAGACCACTGAGTACCGAGCTGGACCAGGACCGGACCAGGGCTCGTCTCGCCCCAACGACGCCAATGCAACACCAGGAAGAGCTGAGGATCTGAGCTACTGCACTTTCTACTGGAGAGAAATATTTGTCAAACACAGAGACTGATGCAGATAGATTTGTTTGGTCCAAATTTGAAGAACTGAATTTGGTTTGGAAGATTTGCAGGATGGATGATACTAATGGAACCTCTCTGAAGTCTGCAGAAGCTGTTGATGACGTGTGAATGGACTGAAGCTGGGTCCAATGGGAATAATGCAAAAAGAATTATTCTGAAGAGATTCCACAGATCAAGTCATTGGTTAAGAATCATCTGGAGATTCTACACTTTCTAAACTCTGTGGGTTGAGTTGCAATGTTCCACAGTACTCTGAGGACTTCGGAGACTCCAGACCACAGTCCCAGAGTCTCAGTCCACTCGGACCACAGTCCCAGAGTCCCAGTCCACTCGGACCACAGTCCCAGAGTCCCAGTCCACTCTGCCGCTCGCAGACGACTGTGGAGGTCCTCCGGCTGCAGGGGGAGCGGCCCCTCGGAGCCCCGCAGACACAGTGTCTGTGTCCTGTCTGCAGATCTGAACAGTGTGGGAGGAAGAGGAGGCGTCGCTCACACCATCCATGGCCTGTGCCACCTCTGCATCGGCTGGAACCTGCCCCAGGTGTGTGTGCGTCTCAAACAGAGGCACTGGGACCAGGAGCCATCCCAGCTTCAGCACTAACCACAGAGAAGGCTCTAAAACCGTTTGCTTCAGGAGTTTCCAGTCTCTGTGATGTTAATTTAAACATGATCAGTCTGTTATTGTTAAAGTCCATGTCTGTGCAGAGCCTTCAGTCCGTGTCCAAGTTTTCTCCTGACCTGAGCTGCTTTCCCTGAGTGTACAAACGTCTTACAGGATATTTTCTTTGGCGCAAAGTATGTGTCTAGCTTTGCCTTTAGATCTGTGTATTTGTGTCCAGTTTCTTCACGTCTTTGTACCATGTGATCCAGGGAGCTCCAGCTGACGTCAGGTCTCAGTATCAAACAGCAGTAAGGCGGGCGTAGCTGTTAGCCTGTGGTAGCTAACATGTAGTTTATCCTTTTCTGTTTCTGTCCTCGTCACCAGTGTGTGGAAGGGTTTGTGTGTTCACTTTACATTGTTCTGTCGTACGGTACACACCTGGTACTGCAGCTGGTACTGGACCAGTATTGCAGCTGGTACTGTTCTGTACTACTCCACACCGGGACGTTCAATATCATGCTCCACTTCTACTGTTTCTGTAATAAGAAGGAACACAGACTGAGAGAGAGAAGCAGATCCTCAGTCTCATTCAGTCCCTCTCATATGTGCAGCACTTTCTGGACCATAACCCGCTGATGGTTCAGTTCAGACCAGAACAAACTGAAGGTTCTGTACCTTTGAGTTCCCGGTGCTGAAGCAGGTTATTTATATCTGCTCATCAGTGTCTGGCAGGGTCGTACAGAGACGGTGCAGCCAGAAGCAGACTGCATTTTTTAAAGGTTATTACAACACGTCCAGGAACAACGTCTCGTCGCTCGTGTTTTCTGCAGAAGAAGAATTTAGAGCCGTTTTTATACATTATTTATACTGTGCGCGACGAAGAGGAGAACCTGATGGAGGACGACAGAGAGAGGCAGAAATATGCTCCAGCTTCTCACAAAACAGCATTTTCATTTCAAACTGCTAAACCAACAGATATCACCTGGTATTGATAACAAGGCAAGAGTCCCAGCAGGAGGCCAGTCCCTGTGCTCCTCAGAGTCCCAGAAGGAGGCCGGTCCCTGTGCTCCTCAGAGTCCCAGCAGGAGGCCAGTCCCTGTGCTCCTCAGAGTCCCAGCAGGAGGCCAGTCCCTGTGCTCCTCAGAGTCCCAGCAGGAGGCCAGTCCCTGTGCTCCTCAGAGTCCCAGCAGGAGGCCAGTCCCTGTGCTCCTCAGAGTCCCAGCAGGAGGCCAGTCCCTGTGCTCCTCAGAGTCCCAGCAGGAGGCCAGTCCCTGTGCTCCTCAGAGTCCCAGCAGGAGGCCAGTCCCTGTGCTCCTCAGAGTCCCAGCAGGAGGCCAGTCCCTGTGCCTTGTAGAGACCTCCATATTCACATTTCTCTTGTGAATCACACTTGGACGCATTCTCCATGTTTCTTGCAGACGTCTCCATCCATGTGTGTTTTTTTACACACACACACACACACAGACACACACACACACAGACACACACGTCTCCATCCATGTGTATGTTTCCTCGCAGACAAACTGGATTGTCTTCATGACTGCGTCGTGTTAAAGCTGCATCGACAGAGACGCCTCCAGAGGTTACACACGTCCTGAAGCAGCTCCAGCTCATGGAAACACACACACAGACACAGACACAGACGCACACACACACACACACACACACACACACACACACACACACACAGACACACACACACAGACGCACACACACACACACACAGACACAGACACACACACAGATGCACATATACACACACAGACACAGACGCACACACACACACACACACAGAGACACACACACACAGACACACACACACACACAGTACTAATCACAGTACATTAAATACAGTGGCGATAAAATCGCTAAAATTAAGCTGTTTTTCACCTGGTTTTGAACATTGTCAGAGAAGACTTTCTGTGTCTAGTACTTGTGCTCTCCTGAACTCGGTCTCAGGTCACTTCAAATCCGTGGAGTGAAAAGTCAGAGATTGGGTGGATGTTCCAGAGCAGCCGGACTCCTGTTGCTACGGCTCCATGTCCAAACTCAGGCCCGGGGGCCAAGTGCGGCCCTCAGTGTCAGTGTACGTGGCCCTCTGCTTTGCTAACCCACAGTAGTCTCTGAGATCATAAACACAAGCTCACTGTGTCATCCATCCAACTTCAGCTCAGCCAATATAGACCTGGTTCTGAAGCCCAATGCGTTGTTGACTTCTCACTTCTGTAGCTGGTGAGATGGTTAACATGTGTCATTCAGCCAACTTCAGCTCTGTCAGAGATCATCATAAAGCTCAGAACAGCTCGATACCAGTCCAGACAATTCTTCAGTCTGTGATGTCGGCCTCTGGACTAGTCTGGTGATCTAAAGTGACCCTCTTACTAAAAGGTCTGGACACCCCTGACGTTAAGGCAAAGCAAGGCCAGTTTATTTGTATAACACAGTACATAAACGAGTCACAGGTGTAGAGCTGAGGACTGGAATTCAGACAGAGGTCGGTCGAGCGCTAACCTAATAATACTAAATGTTTTGGAGCCTTTCTCTGTGGGGTCTGCATGTTCGCTCCGTGTGCACAGGTTTTCTCCAGGTGCTCCGGTTTCCCTTGTCACCACCGCGTGTGGAGATTACTGTGTGGCTCATGGATCTTGTGGAATGTGCTATATAATATCTGTTTGTTTGCAGGTGACCATCCATCGAGGGAAGGATGGATACGGCTTCACCATCTGCTCCGACTCGCCTGTTCGGGTTCAGGGAGTGGATCCAGGTCAGACTCAAAACTACCACAATTATTATGAAACTACTAGAACTCCTAGAGCCGTCGTTTTGACTGCTCACAATCGAACTAATGGAATTATGAGAAATTCCCCCAAAACATGTTTAGTTTTTGACCAGATTTATTGAAAGAGCTCAAACTGGGTCAATATCACTAGAAATACATCATGTGTTTGATGAACGGCTAAATGCTAACGGCTTTTCATGATGAAGATGATGATGATGGTGATGAAGAAGATAATGATGGTGATGATGAAGATGATGAAGGTTATGATGATGATGATGAAGATGATGATGATGATGATGGTGATGATGAAGATAATGATGGTGATGATGATGATGATGATGGTGATGAAGAAGATAATGATGGTGATGGTGATGAAGAAGATAATGATGGTGATGATGATGATGATGAAGGTTATGATGATGATGATGATGAAAGTTATGATGAAGAAGGTTATGATGATGATGATGAAGGTTATGATGATGAAGGTTATGATGATGATGATGGTGATGAAGAAGATAATGATGGTGATGAGGATGATGATGAAGGTTATGATGATGATGATGAAGATAATGATGATGATGATGAAGGTTATGATGAAGATAATGATGAAGGTGATGATGATGATGAAGGTTATGATGAAGATAACGATGATGATGATGATGAAGGTTATGATGATGATGATGAAGGTGATGATGATGAAGGTTATGATGAAGATAATGATGATGATGAAGGTTATGATGATGATGAAGGTGATGATGAAGGTTATGATGATGATAACGATGATGATGAAGGTGATGATGAAGGTTATGATGATGATAACAATGATGATGATGATGATGAAGGTGTTGTGGTCATCAGGAGGACCAGCAGACCAAGCAGGACTGCAGCAGATGGACACTCTGCTGCAGCTGAACGGGCAGCCCGTGGAGCAGTGGAAATGTGTGGATCTGGCTCATGCAATCAGGTAAGCAGGGCAGGGCCTGGTTAGTGCTGTGATGGGAGACCTCTGGGAACACCAGGTGCCACAGTGGGGCGGCTGTTTTATAGTTTTTATGTTTATGTTTATGTTGAATATACTAATAGGCATTAATAATAATAATAATAATACATTTTATTTATAATGCACTTTATATTTGACATCAAATCTCAAAGTGCTACAAACAGGAGCATAAATAAAAGCAAGCACATAAAATCAGATAAAAGACTATAAAAAAATTAGCAGTACGCTTTAGTAAAAAGATGGGTTTTGAGTCCCTTTTTAAAAGCTCTGTGGGGCCTTGAGGTGGTTTCATTCAACTCTTTATTCAACACACTCTCTCTGGTCTCTCTCTGGTCTCTCTGGTCTCTCTCTCTCTGGTCTCTCTCTGGTCTCTCTCTCTCTCTGGTCTCTCTCTGGTCTCTCTCTGGTCTCTCTCTCTGGTCTCTCTGGTCTCTCTCTCTCTCTGGTCTCTCTCTGGTCTCTCTCTCTCTGGTCTCCCTCTGGTCTCTCTCCGGTCCCTCCCTGGTCTCTCTCTGGTCTCTCTCTGGTCTCTCTCTCTGGTCTCCCTCTGGTCTCTCTTTCTGGTCTCTCTCTGGTCTCCCTCTGGTCTCTCTCTGGTCTCCCTCTGGTCTCTCTTTCTGGTCTCTCTCTGGTCTCTCTCTCTGGTCTCTCTCTCTGGTCTCTCTCTCTTGTCTCTCTCTCTCTTGTCTCTCTCTGGTCTCTCTCTGGTCTCTCTCTGGTCTCTCTCTGGTCTCTCTCTCTGGTCTCTCTCTGGTCTCTCTCTGGTCTCTCTCTCTGGTCTCTCTCTCTGGTCTCTCTCTGGTCTCTCTCTCTGGTCACTCTCTGGTCTCTCTCTGGTCTCTCTGGTCTCTCTCTCTGGTCTCTCTCTGGTCTCTCTCTGGTCTCTCTCTGGTCTCTCTCTCTGGTCTCTCTCTGGTCTCTCTCTGGTCACTCTCTGGTCTCTCTCTGGTCTCTCTGGTCTCTCTCTCTGGTCTCTCTCTGGTCACTCTCTGGTCTCTCTCTGGTCTCTCTCTGGTCTCTCTCTGGTCTCTCTGGTCTCTCTCTGGTCTCTCTCTGGTCTCTCTGGTCTCTCTCTGGTCTCTCTCTGGTCTCTCTCTCTGGTCTCTCTCTGGTCTCTCTCTCTGGTCTCCCTCTGGTCTCTCTCTGGTCCCTCCCTGGTCTCTCTCTGGTCTCTCTCTGGTCTCTCTCTCTGGTCTCCCTCTGGTCTCTCTTTCTGGTCTCTCTCTGGTCTCCCTCTGGTCTCTCTCTGGTCTCCCTCTGGTCTCTCTTTCTGGTCTCTCTCTGGTCTCTCTCTCTGGTCTCTCTCTCTGGTCTCTCTCTCTTTCTCTCTCTCTTGTCTCTCTCTGGTCTCTCTCTGGTCTCTCTCTCTGGTCTCTCTCTCTGGTCTCTCTCTGGTCTCTCTCTCTGGTCTCTCTCTCTGGTCTCTCTCTGGTCTCTCTCTCTGGTCTCTCTCTCTGGTCTCTCTCTCTGGTCTCTCTCTGGTCACTCTCTGGTCTCTCTCTGGTCTCTCTCTCTGGTCTCTCTCTGGTCTCTCTCTGGTCTCTCTCTGGTCTCTCTCTGGTCACTCTCTGGTCTCTCTCTGGTCTCTCTGGTCTCTCTCTCTGGTCTCTCTCTGGTCACTCTCTGGTCTCTCTCTGGTCTCTCTCTGGTCTCTCTCTGGTCTCTCTCTGGTCTCTCTCTGGTCTCTCTGGTCTCTCTCTCTGGTCTCTCTCTGGTCTCTCTGGTCTCTCTCTCTGGTCTCTCTGGTCTCTCTCTCTGGTCTCTCTCTGGTCTCTCTCTCTGGTCTCTCTCTGGTCTCTCTCTGGTCTCTCTCTCTGGTCTCTCTCTGGTCTCTCTCTGGTCTCTCTCTCTGGTCTCTCTCTCTGGTCTCTCTCTCTGGTCTCTCTCTGGTCACTCTCTGGTCTCTCTCTGGTCTCTCTCTCTGGTCTCTCTCTGGTCTCTCTCTGGGTCTCTCTCTGGTCTCTCTCTGGTCACTCTCTGGTCTCTCTCTGGTCTCTCTGGTCTCTCTCTCTGGTCTCTCTCTGGTCACTCTCTGGTCTCTCTCTGGTCTCTCTCTGGTCTCTCTCTGGTCTCTCTCTGGTCTCTCTCTGGTCTCTCTGGTCTCTCTCTCTGGTCTCTCTCTGGTCTCTCTGGTCTCTCTCTCTGGTCTCTCTGGTCTCTCTCTCTGGTCTCTCTCTGGTCACTCTCTGGTCTCTCTCTGGTCTCTCTCTGGTCTCTCTCTGGTCTCTCTGGTCTCTCTCTGGTCTCTCTCTGGTCTCTCTGGTCTCTCTCTGGGTCTCTCTCTGGTCTCTCTCTCTGGTCTCTCTCTGGTCTCTCTCTCTGGTCTCCCTCTGGTCTCTCTCTGGTCCCTCCCTGGTCTCTCTCTGGTCTCTCTCTGGTCTCTCTCTCTGGTCTCCCTCTGGTCTCTCTTTCTGGTCTCTCTCTGGTCTCCCTCTGGTCTCTCTCTGGTCTCCCTCTGGTCTCTCTTTCTGGTCTCTCTCTGGTCTCTCTCTCTGGTCTCTCTCTGGTCTCTCTCTCTGGTCTCTCTCTCTTGTCTCTCTCTCTTGTCTCTCTCTTGGTCTCTCTCTGGTCTCTCTCTCTGGTCTCTCTCTGGTCTCTCTCTCTGGTCTCTCTCTGGTCTCTCTCTGGTCTCTCTCTCTGGTCTCTCTCTCTGGTCTCTCTCTGGTCTCTCTCTGGTCTCTCTCTGGTCTCTCTCTCTGGTCTCTCTCTGGTCTCTCTCTGGTCTCTCTCTGGTCTCTCTCTGGTCACTCTCTGGTCTCTCTCTGGTCTCTCTGGTCTCTCTCTCTGGTCTCTCTCTGGTCACTCTCTGGTCTCTCTCTGGTCTCTCTCTGGTCTCTCTCTGGTCTCTCTCTGGTCTCTCTCTGGTCTCTCTCTGGTCTCTCTGGTCTCTCTCTCTGGTCTCTCTCTGGTCTCTCTCTCTGGTCTCTCTCTGGTCTCTCTCTCTGGTCTCTCTCTGGTCTCTCTCTGGTCTCTCTCTGGTCTCTCTCTCTGGTCTCTCTCTGGTCTCTCTCTGGTCTCTCTCTCTGGTCTCTCTCTGGTCTCTCTCTGGTCTCTCTCTCTGGTCTCTCTCTCTGGTCTCTCTCTCTGGTCTCTCTCTGGTCTCTCTCTCTGGTCTCTCTCTGGTCTCTCTCTCTGGTCTCTCTCTGGTCTCTCTCTGGTCTCTCTCTCTGGTCTCTCTGGTCTCTCTCTCTGGTCTCTCTCTGGTCTCTCTCTCTGGTCTCTCTCTGGTCTCTCTTAATTTGAACAGTTGAAATGAATAAAAATATATATTTATTTTTCTTCCCTTCAGAAAAAGTTCAAATGAGATCCAGTTGGTCGTGTGGCGCACTGGTCCTTCTGCCAAACCCACCTTCGAGGGTCTGATCCACCGTCCCGCCCACAAACCCTCCTCCAGCTCCAACTACGACGCCCCCTCCCCCCCCCTCCGCCGCCGGGACCTCAGCAAGACCCCGCCGGCCGTGCCCCCCCTCCCCGCCCACCACCGAGCCACTGCGGCACACAGACTCCTGCTCAACGGTGGAGGAGGGGGAGGAGGAGGCGGAGGAGGAGGCGGAGGAGGAGGAGGTGGAGGAGGTGCACCCAGCGGCGGCACTCTGGCCTGGGGGGCGAGAGGAGGCTCCTGCGAGGAACTGGACGGGAAGCCGCGCCTCCTCCACCACCCCACGGCCACGCTGAAGGGGACCAGGGTCAAGGCGTCCAACGGAGACAACTACATCATCCTCTCCCCCATCACCTCCTCAGGCCAGGTACCTCAGAGCCTCCTCTCCCCCATCACCTCCTCAGGCCAGGTACCTCAGAGCCTCCTCTCCCCCATCACCTCCTCAGGCCAGGTACCTCAGAGCCTCCTGTCCTCCGTCAGGTCCTCAGGCCAGGTACCTCAGGGCTCTGGGGCGCTGCTCTTCCATCCTCTCCTGCGCCCTCCCCCTTATCAGAGTCAGAGTCCCAGATATGTGTCGCTGCCGTACGTCGCTGCTGCAGAAAGATAGAACATCAGCCGTGTTCAACGTAAACAGTTCCTTCTGTGTCTTCTTCAAGTTTAAGCTGCAGATCAGGGCGCCCAGGGCAGGTGCGGCTGCAGGCCCACCCATGTCCTCAAGTCTTCAGGTCAAAACTGGACTCAGCTGAGGACACGGGTGGAGTCTCTGTGCTCCTTGGTTGGAACTAGAACTTGCGGCCGCACCTGCCCTGTGACGACTGGCTCAGAAGGTTTGAGTAAAGAAGTGTAAAGAAGACAGTACGGCTCAGTCCCCACATGGTTGTGCAGGATGGTGTGGTCTCTGGAGAAGTGAGTCCCATGTGCGAGCCAGGGTGAAGGCCCCCTCGTCTCTGTTGATGGTTCAGAGAATGGAAGTCAACCTCCCTCACTTCCATTAATTTAACCTCTTTCTGATCTCTCTCTCTGGTCTCTTGTCTCTCTCTGGTCTCTTGTCTCTTTCTGGTCTCTCTCTTGTCTCTCTCTGGTCTCTCTCTTGTCTCTCTCTGGTCTCTCTCAGGTCTCTCTCTAGTCTCTCTCTGGTCTCTCTCTGGTCTCTCTCTGGTCTCTCTCTGGTCTCTCTCTCTGGTCTCTCTCTGGTCTCTCTCTGGTCTCTCTCTCTGGTCTCTCTCTGGTCTCTCTCTCTGGTCTCTCTCTGGTCTCTCTCTCTGGTCTCTCTCTTGTCTCTCTCTGGTCTCTCTCTGGTCTCTCTCAGGTCTCTCTCTGGTCTCTTTCAGGTCTCTCTCTGGTCTTTCTCAGGTCTCTCTCTGGTCTCTCTCAGGTCTCTCTCTGGTCTCTTTCAGGTCTCTCTCTGGTCTCTCTCAGGTCTCTCTCTCTGGTCTCTCTCTTGTCTCTCTCTGGTCTCTCTCTGGTCTCTCTCTGGTCTCTCTCAGGTCTCTCTCTGGTCTCTTTCAGGTCTCTCTCTGGTCTCTCTCAGGTCTCTCTCAGGTCTCTCTCAGGTCTCTCTCTGGTCTCTCTCAGGTCTCTCTCTGGTCTCTCTCTGGTCTCTCTCTGGTCTCTCTCTGGTCTCTCTCTGGTCTCTCTCTGGTCTCTGGTTATTTTCAGAACACATCACCGTAGTATAACTGAAGATGACTCCTGTACCTACACTAGAAGAACATATGTACAGATGATGGATATGAAAGACTGTTAAAATCAGGAAGTGGCGAGCACAGACCATCAACAGAGACGAGGGGCCTTCACTGTTGTCTCACTCTCTCCGTCGACCACAGAGAGCGATGAAGCAGAACTCTTCTTTACACGTCAGTCTCTTCTCCAGAACCTTCTAAACCTCCTATCGGCGTCTTTCACCTCCAAACCCTCAGTACTGTTCATTATTTTGTTGTGTTTGTGGAAGAAATGTTCAAAATATACTATACATACAGTATAATTGTAGAAATTTTAAAAATATCTCACACATATATATTTATACATATACACAACATAGGTGTTTTTGTAAATACGTTTGTAAAATGTTTTTCATCCTGGACAAAAATTCTATATCTACAAGTACAAAATAAAGTGAATACATGAAAAATGAGTGAGTTCCTCAGCTAACAACAGCTAACAACAGCTAACAACAGCTAACAACAATACTAACCTCCACACACCTCAACATGTGATTATGTTTGGGCCAAACAGTGTTTAGTCTCACTTCTCTTGTTTTGAGAACATTTCAGACTCAGGTTGAAGCAGGTCATTTATCTCAGAGACATTAGAGTCCTTTAGTCCTGGTCTGAAGCGTTGGACTCGTGACCAGAGTTGAATAAATAAGTACAGTAGTGTCCGGCAGCAGCAGCAGTGTGTAATGTAAATGTAAATGTTGCAGGTGATGCGACCCGTGTACCAGGAGAACCAGGGTACTGTAGGTAAGACCAGTGTTCTGTGTGTGTGAGTCCTGCTGCACCGTCGACACTCAGCTGAACCAAGACAGACAGCTTTTAGTTGTGGAAGCGTACTGGTCTGGTCCTGGTCTGGTCCTGGTCTGGTCCCAGACTGGTCTGCTTGGTTTTCCACCTGGAAAGAGCATGTGCTAGTTACCATAGAAACACACTGTTTACTGTCTGGAGTTAGCATTAACCTTTAGCATTAACCTTTAGCATTAGCCTTCAGGATTAGCCTTTAGCATTAGCCTTTCAACAATCTGTTGTTGCTGTACTTTTAAAGGTAAAGAAATATATACATTTCTTACTTTTCATAGTTTTGTGTCAACACTGAACTCCCAGAGCAGTCAATTTGACAGGTTTTAGTTCTGAAAGTGTAGCTCAACATGTACCTGTTTGAGCTTCATAACTTTCTGACTTTCTCCGTACCGACCTGTAGTTTATTTCTGTCATTGTTTTATTTATGAAATTAATAATAGCTCAGATCAGTTACCATGGCAACACCCTGTTTACTGTCAGCAGATAGCATTAGCCTTTAGCATTAGCCTTTAAACAAACTTATTTCCAGTTATATTCACCAGTTTTAGCACTTAAAGTAAAGGTAAAACCCTTATAGACTACTTACTATTAGTACATAAAGATAATCAATGGAACTTTTTTCGACTGCTCCGGGAGTTCTTAGTTTCAGATTTCTTTACAACTTCTTTACAACATCATGTTTGTGTTTTGTATTGTTGTAATTTCCTTCATCTGTGTTCCATGTATGTGACATCTCACTCTGGTCTCTCTCTCTGGTCTCTCTCTGGTCTCACTCTGGTCTCACTCTGGTCTCACTCTGGTCTCTCTCTGGTCTCTCTCTGGTCTCTCTCTGGTCTCACTCTGGTCTCTCTCTGGTCTCTCTCTGGTCTCTCTCTGGTCTCTCTCTGGTCTCTCTGGTCTCTCTCTGATCTCTCTCTGGTCTCTCTCTCTGGTCTCTCTCTGGTCTCACTCTGGTCTCACTCTGGTCTCACTCTGGTCTCTCTCTGGTCTCTCTCTGGTCTCTCTCTGGTCTCACTCTGGTCTCTCTCTGGTCTCTCTCTGGTCTCTCTCTGGTCTCTCTCTGGTCTCTCTGGTCTCTCTCTGATCTCTCTCTGGTCTCTCTCTCTGGTCTCTCTCTGGTATCTCTCTGGTATCTCTCTGGTCTCTCTCTGGTCTCTCTCTGGTCTCTCTCTGGTCTCTCTCTGGTCTCTCTCTCTGGTCTCTCTCTGGTCTCTCTCTGGTCTCTCTCTGGTCTCTCTCTGGTCTCTCTCTCTGGTCTCTCTCTGGTCTCTCTCTCTGGTCTCTCTCTGGTCTCTCTCTGGTCTCTCTCTGGTCTTTCTCTCTGGTCTCTCTCTGGTCTCTCTCTGGTCTCTCTGGTCTCTCTCTGGTCTCTCTCTGGTCTCTCTCTGGTCTCTCTCTGGTCTCTCTCTCTGGTCTCTCTCTGGTCTCTCTCTGGTCTCTCTCTGGTCTCTCTCTGGTCTCTCTCTGGTCTCTCTCTGGTCTCTCTCTGGTCTCTCTCTCTAGTTTCTCTCTTCTCCCTCTGTTCTCTCTCTGGTCTCTCTCTGGTTTCCCTCTGGTCTCTCTCTGGTCTTTCTCTGGTCTCTCTCTGGTCTCTCTCTGGTCTCTCTCTCTAGTTTCTCTCTTCTCCCTCTGTTCTCTCTCTGGTCTCTCTCTGGTCTCTCTCTGGTCTCTCTCTGGTCTCTCTCTGGTCTCTCTCTGGTCTCTCTCTGGTCTCTCTCTGGTCTCTCTCTGGTCTTTCTCTGATCTCTCTCTGGTCTTTCTCTCTGGTCTCTCTCTGGTCTCTCTCTGGTCTCTCTCTGGTCTCTCTCTGGTCTCTCTCTGGTCTCTCTCTGGTCTCTCTCTGGTCTCTCTGGTCTCTCTCTGGTCTCTCTCTGGTCTCTCTCTGGTCTCTCTCTGGTCTCTCTCTGGTCTCTCTCTGGTCTCTCTCTGGTCTCTCTCTGGTCTCTCTCTGGTCTCTCTCTCTGGTCTGTCTCTGGTCTCTCTGGTCTCTCTCTGGTCTCTCTCTGGTCTCTCTCTGGTCTCTCTCTGGTCTCTCTCTGGTCTCTCTCTGGTCTCTCTCTCTAGTTTCTCTCTTCTCCCTCTGTTCTCTCTCTGGTCTCTCTCTGGTTTCCCTCTGGTCTCTTTCTGGTCTCTCTCTGGTCTCTCTCTGGTCTCTCTCTGGTCTTTCTCTGATCTCTCTCTGGTCTTTCTCTCTGGTCTCTCTCTGGTCTCTCTCTGGTCTCTCTGGTCTCTCTCTGGTCTCTCTCTGGTCTCTCTCTGGTCTCTCTCTGGTCTCTCTCTGGTCTCTCTCTGGTCTCTCTCTGGTCTCTCTGGTCTCTCTCTGGTCTCTCTCTGGTCTCTCTCTGGTCTCTCTCTGGTCTCTCTCTCTGGTCTCTCTCTGGTCTCTCTCTGGTCTCTCTCTGGTCTCTCTCTGGTCTCTCTCTGGTCTCTCTCTCTAGTTTCTCTCTTCTCCCTCTGTTCTCTCTCTGGTCTCTCTCTGGTTTCCCTCTGGTCTCTTTCTGGTCTCTCTCTGGTCTCTCTCTGGTCTCTCTCTGGTCTCTCTCTGGTCCCTCTCTCTGGTCTCTCTCTGGTCTTTCTCTGGTCTTTCTCTGGTCTCTCTCTGATCTCTCTCTGGTCTCTCCCTGGTCTCTCCCTGGTCTCTCTCTGGTCTCTCTCTGGTCTCTCTCTGGTCTTTCTCTGGTCTCTCTCTGATCTCTCTCTGGCCTCTCTCTGGTCTCTCTCTGGTCTCTCTCTGGTCTCTCTCTGGTCTCTCTCTGGTCTCTCTCTGGTCTCTCTCTGGTCTCTCTCTCTGGTCTCTCTCTGGTCTTTCTCTGATCTCTCTCTGGTCTTTCTCTCTGGTCTCTCTCTGGTCTCTCTCTGGTCTCTCTGGTCTCTCTCTGGTCTCTCTCTGGTCTCTCTCTGGTCTCTCTCTGGTCTCTCTCTGGTCTCTCTGGTCTCTCTCTGGTCTCTCTCTGGTCTCTCTCTGGTCTCTCTCTGGTCTCTCTCTCTGGTCTCTCTCTGGTCTCTCTCTGGTCTCTCTCTGGTCTCTCTCTGGTCTCTCTCTGGTCTCTCTCTGGTCTCTCTCTCTAGTTTCTCTCTTCTCCCTCTGTTCTCTCTCTGGTCTCTCTCTGGTTTCCCTCTGGTCTCTCTCTGGTCTTTCTCTGGTCTCTCTCTGGTCTCTCACTGGTCTTTCTCTGGTCTCTCTCTGATCTCTCCCTGGTCTCTCCCTGGTCTCTCTCTGGTCTCTCTCTGGTCTCTCTCTGGTCTTTCTCTGGTCTCTCTCTGATCTCCCTCTGGCCTCTCTCTGGTCTCTCTCTGGTCTCTCTCTGGTCTCTCTCTGGTCTCTCTCTGGTCTCTCTCTGGTCTCTCTCTGGTCTCTCTCTGGTCTCTCTCTGGTCTCTCTCTGGTCTCTCTCTGGTCTCTCTCTGGTCTCTCTCTGGTCTCTCTCTGGTCTCTCTGGTCTCTCTCTGGTCTCTTTCTGGTCTCTCTCTGGTCTCTCTGGTCTCTCTCTGGTCTCTCTCTGGTCTCTCTCTGGTCTCTCTCTGGTCTCTCTCTGGTCTCTCTCTGGTCTCTCTCTGGTCTCTCTAACCCTGTCCTTCCTGGTGCAGGTGGTCGGATGTTCCCGCCTCGACAGCCTCCTGCTGCAGCTGCACACACACAGAGCAGTGGGGGGGGTTTCTCCGGTCGCTCCGGTTTCCTACGACGGTCCAACAACTCCAAAAGCACCAGGACAGCCTCCACCAGCACCAGCGCACACCACCAGCAACCCAACGCCAACTTCGCCAACTACCAGAACTGTACCATCGTGCGCTCCCACTCCCCACACGCCAACTACGGCTACGTGAAGGCGGCGCCCAAGATCCTCATATTCCCCATCTTTGTGCAGGTGCGACACACACACACACACACACACACACACACACACACACACACACACACAAAATGAATGGATTTTGATAAATGTGTGATTTCAGCCGATCGACCTCTGCAGCCGCAACCTGATCATATCTGAGGAGATGGTTCTACACGAGAGTCAGCTACACTCTCTGAAGGTACAGACACACACACATGCACACAGACACACACGCACACCCACAGACACACACACACACACACAATAAAGTAGATAAATGACAAACTGCTTATGCTCTGAGCTACACTGTTTATGTGAGAGGAAGCTGGCTCCCTCTGGTCTCCGCTCCCTCTGGTCTCCGCTCCCTCTGGTCTCCGCTCCCTCTGGTCTCCGCTCCCTCTGGTCTCCGCTCCCTCTGGTCTCCGCTCCCTCTGGTCTCCGCTCCCTCTGGTCTCCGATCCCTCTGGTCTCCGATCCCTCTGGTCTCCGCTCCCTCTGGTCTCCGCTCCCTCTGGTCTCCGCTCCCTCTGGTCTCCGCTCCCTCTGGTCTCCGCTCCCTCTGGTCTCCGCTCCCTCTGGTCTCCGCTCCCTCTGGTCTCTCCGCCCCTCTGGTCTCCGCTCCCTCTGGTCTCCGCTCCCTCTGGTCTCCGCTCCCTCTGGTCTCGCTCCCTCTGGTCTCCGCTCCCTCTGGTCTCCGCTCCCTCTGGTCTCCGCTCCCTCTGGTCTCCCGCTCCCTCTGGTCTCCGCTCCCTCTGGTCTCCGCTCCCTCTGGTCTCCGCTCCCTCTGGTCTCCGCTCCCTCTGGTCTCTTCGCTCCCTCTGGTCTCCGATCCCTCTGGTCTCCGCTCCCTCTGGTCTCCGCTCCCTCTGGTCTCCGCTCCCTCTGGTCTCCGCTCCCTCTGGTCTCCGCTCCCTCTGGTCTCCGCTCCCTCTGGTCTCCGCTCCCTCTGGTCTCCGCTCCCTCTGGTCTCCGCTCCCTCTGGTCTCCGCTCCCTCTGGTCTCCGCTCCCTCTGGTCTCCGCTCCCTCTGGTCTCCGCTCCCTCTGGTCTCCGCGCCCTCTGGTCTCCGCGCCCTCTGGTCTCCGCTCCCTCTGGTCTCCGCTCCCTCTGGTCTCCGCTCCCTCTGGTCTCCGCTCCCTCTGGTCTCTGTTTCTCAGTCCAACCCTGTTTGTCTGAAGAACTTTCTCCACAGTCTGCCTTTGTGGTTGTTATGGTGTTATTTTTGTCCCAGGCTGGAGCAGAGCAGCTCTGTGTGAGGCTGGAGCAGAGCTGCTCTGTGTGAGGCTGGAGCAGAGCTGCTCTGTGTGAGGCTGGAGCAGAGCTGCTCTGTGTGAGGCTGGAGCAGAGCAGCTCTGTGTGAGGCTGGAGCAGAGCTGCTCTGTGTGAGGCTGGAGCAGAGCAGCTCTGTGTGAGGCTGGAGCAGAGCTGCTCTGTGTGAGGCTGGAGCAGAGCTGCTCTGTGTGAGGCTGGAGCAGAGCAGCTCTGTGTGAGGCTGGAGCAGAGCTGCTCTGTGTGAAGCTGGAGCAGAGCAGCTCTGTGTGAGGCTGGAGCAGAGCTGCTCTGTGTGAGGCTGGAGCAGAGCAGCTCTGTGTGAGGCTGGAGCAGAGCTGCTCTGTGTGAGGCTGGAGCAGAGCAGCTCTGTGTGAGGCTGGAGCAGAGCTGCTCTGTGTGAGGCTGGAGCAGAGCAGCTCTGTGTGAGGCTGGAGCAGAGCAGCTCTGTGTGAGGCTGGAGCAGAGCAGCTCTGTGTGAGGCTGGAGCAGAGCTGCTCTGTGTGAGGCTGGAGCAGAGCTGCTCTGTGTGAGGCTGGAGCAGAGCTGCTCTGTGTGAGGCTGGAGCAGAGCTGCTCTGTGTGAGGCTGGAGCAGAGCTGCTCTGTGTGAGGCTGGAGCAGAGCAGCTCTGTGTGAGGCTGGAGCAGAGCTGCTCTGTGTGAGGCTGGAGCAGAGCTGCTCTGTGTGAGGCTGATGAACCCTGATGGACTCACTGCGTCCTGCTCTCAGACTCTGAGTCTGTGTGTACCTTACACTGCAAAAGTGAGGAAAAATAAGTCAAAAATGGCCCATTTTGAGTCAGAAGTGGCCGTGCCTGCAGGTGAAAGGCTAAAAGCTAAGCATAGTCCGAGCGTAGATAGTCCGAGCGTAGATAGTCCGAGCGTAGATAGTCCGAGCGTAGATAGTCCGAGCGTAGATAGTCCGAGCGTAGATAGTCCGAGCGTATATAGTCCGAGCGTAGATAGTCCGAGCGTAGATGGTCCGAGCGTAGATAGTCCGAGCGTAGATAGTCCGAGCGTAGATAGTCCGAGCGTAGATAGTCCGAGCGTAGATGGTCCGAGCGTAGATAGTCCGAGCGTAGATAGTCCGAGCGTAGATAGTCCGAGCGTAGATAGTCCGAGCGTAGATAGTCCGAGCGTAGATAGTCCGTGCGTAGATAGTCGGAGCGTGGATAGTCCGAGCGTATATAGTCCGAGCGTAGATAGTCCGAGCGTAGATAGTCCGAGCGCAGATAGTCCGAGCGTAGATAGTCCGAGCGTAGATAGTCCGAGCGTAGATAGTCCGAGCGTAGATAGTCCGAGCGTAGATAGTCCGAGCGCAGATAGTCCGAGCGTAGATAGTCCGAGCGCAGATAGTCCGAGCGTAGATAGTCCAAGGCGGTCCCGCAGGTCTCTCCCATAGACCAGTCTCTCCAGAGGATACGATGTAAGCTAGCTCTGTTCAGGGCTTGGTTTCTTCTTTGATCATGTCGTGGCTTTAGTTCCTCTTCTCTTCCTCACTGTTGTGTGGTTTGGGCTGTTTTGCTGTGTCTGCAGTTACAGCCAGAGGAGTTATAGCCACTTATGCTAACATGCTACTGTGTTTAGCAGCGCTGTAGAGGCTAGAGGACGCAGCCTCGTTCTGTGATTGGAGGAGAGCGGGCGTCGCGCTAAGTCTCTACTCAGCACTTTTTATACAGCCTGAGTTCATCCACAGCTGAATCAATGAGCTCAAGTTTTACATTAAATTACGGATTATAATATAACTTGTGTGTAGTGATAAACATTTAAGATCGGGTATAGCTTCTTTCACCACTCAGAGAAACACTCAGGATGCAGAGGAAGTGCACACATTGTCTTCAAAGAGTGCGACAAACTACAATCAGAACGACATCACAATACAGAGACAGTGTGGCACGCAACAGAGACCAGAGAGAGACCAGAGAGAGACCAGCGAGAGAGACCAGAGAGAGACCAGCGAGAGAGACCAGAGAGAGACCAGAGAGAGACCAGAGAGAGACCAGAGAGAGAGACCAGAGAGAGACCAGAGAGAGACCAGAGAGAGACCAGAGAGAGACCAGAAAGAGACCAGAGAGAGACCTGAGAGAGACCAGAGAGAGACCAGAGAGAGACCAGAGAGAGACCAGAGAGAGACCAGCGAGAGACCAGAGAGAGACCAGAGAGAGACCAGAGAGAGACCAGCGAGAGAGACCAGCGAGAGACCAGAGAGAGACCAGAGAGTCTAGTGTTTCCGACTGGGGACTGAATACATCAAACTGGATTTTTTATTTCAAAACAGTGGATTAAAACATGGGAGGCAGCAAAAATCTGGAACAGTCTTCCGGAAAATGTGAGACAGGCTTCTTCTCAGTGTTCAAATCCACATACACACGCACATACACACACATACACACACACACACACACACACACACACGCACATACACACACACACGCACGCACATGCACACACACACGCACATACACACACACACACGCACACACACACGCACATACACACACACACGCACACACACGCACACACACACGCACATACACACGCACACACACACACACACACGCACACACGCACATACACACGCGCACACACACACACACACACATACACACACACACACGCACGCATTGTTTTCTGCTTGGGCCATTTCCTGTCTAACACCTTGTGAGTGCAGATCTATGTGCAGCAGCGGAAGATCTCACTCTAGTCTCTCTCGTCCTCAAGTCTCTCACTAAAGTCTCTCTCGTCCTCAGGTCCCTCACTAAAGTCTTTCTCGTCCTCAGGTCTCTCACTAAAGTCTCTCTCCTCCTCAGGTCTCTCAGTAAAGTCTCTCTCGTCCTCAGGTCTCTCACTAAAGTCTCTCTCATCCTCAGGTCTCTCGCTAAAGTCTCTCTCGTCCTCAGGTCTCTCACTAAAGTCTCTCTCGTCCTCAGGTCTCTCACTAAAGTCTCTCTCGTCCTCAGGTCTCTCACTAAAGTCTCTCTCGTCCTCAGGTCTCTCACTAAAGTCTCTCTCGTCCTCAGGTCTCTCACTAAAGTCTCTCTCGTCCTCAGGTGACAGTGTTTGTCTACAATGACCTGATGTTAGTGACCAGAGAGGATGAGCCCGGCAGGTGCAACGTCCTCCAGAGTCCTCTGTTCCTGCGGCACCTGCGCCTTCAGGACGGTGAGTACTGCCCCCGGTGGACGGAGGGGAACACTGCATAAACACAGTCATTAGGAACCTGGAATAATCAAAGCCAAGATGTCAAAACATCTTTGTAGAAGTTCCTTTTATTCCTTACAAGAACCAGGAAGGGTCTATCTCAGCAAAATGGTCCTGGGTTTTAATCCCAGTAGGAACACGCTCTTTCTGAGTGGAGTTTGCATGTTCTCCCTGTGTCTGCGCTGGTTTCCCCTACCACTAAAGACCTGTACAATAGGTAAATCCTCCAGCTCTGGTCCTGACCAAGAGCATCAACATCTGGAGATGGTTCTCGGGCGCTGTTACTACGGCAACCTCTGCTGCTGACGGACGCCCAGTGGCATCAGGGTCAAATGCAGAGGACTATGTTTCCCACATGGATAAACAAAGTCCACATTTATTTTATTCTATGTACCAGAGAGGGTCTTATATACTCTGCACAAGTACCAGGGATACAGTAACTAATGTCCTTTTGGGGAAGCCCAGCCCTCAGCTTCCGCTCTTGTCTCCTTCAGATTTACATTTTTTGAATTCCTTATGTTCTGTATTCAGCTCTGAGACCTGAAGTTCAGACACAGAAATACACGCTGACAGTGAGGGTCTGGTTATTACCAAATGTCCACAGAGACACATGAACAATGAGACCTGGTACAGAAGAGAAATGGAACCATCTGATGAGACGTTGGGTCATTATTGGATATGATTGTATTATGGCAAATTCAGAACAATTCTCCTGAATAGCTTTCCACGCAGAGTAAACACTCACCTCCTGTTTGGGCTCAGAGAGAATGGTTTGGCAGAGAGAGGCACACACAGGAAACTGAAGTGTAAGCCCTAGGTCTCCAACATGTCTGCCCCTGGTCTCTCCAACATGTCTGCCCCTGGTCTCTCCAACATGTCTGCCTCAGGTCTCTACAAGATGTCTATCCCTGGTCTCTCCAAGATGTCTGCCGCTGGTCTTTCCAAGATGTCTGCCCCTGGTCTCTCCAACATGTCTGCCCCTGGTCTCTCCAAGATGTCTGCCCCTGGTCTCTCCAACATGTCTGCCCCTGGTCTCTCCAACATATCTGCCCCTGGTCTTTCCAAGATGTCTGCCTCTGGTCTCTCCAAGATGTCTGCCTCTGGTCTCTCTAAGATGTCTGTCCCTGGTCTCTCCAAGATGTCTGCCCCTGCTCTTTCCAAGATGTCTGCCTCTGGTCTCTCCAAGATGTCTGTCCCTGGTCTCTCCAAGATGTCTGTCCCTGGTCTTTCCAAGATGTCTGCCTCTGGTCTCTCCAAGATGTCTGCCCCTGGTCTTTCCAACATGTCTGCCTCTGGTCTTTCCAACATGTCTGTCCGTAGGTGTGCAGTGGTTCTACTTCAGCAGTACCAGAGAGAGAGACCAGAGAGAGAGAGAAAGACCAGAGAGAGACCAGAGAGAGAGGCCAGAGAGAGAGAGAAAGACCAGAGAGAGACCAGAGAGAGAGGCCAGAGAGAGAGACCAAAGAGAGAGACCAGAGAGAGACTAGAGAGGCCAGAGAGAGACCAGAGAGAGACCAGAGAGAGAGACCTGAGAGAAACCAGAGAGAGACCAGAGAGAGACCAGAGAGAGACCAGAGAGAGACCTGAGAGAGACCTGAGAGAGACCAGAGAGAGAGAGACCAAGAGAGAGACCAGAGAGAGACCAGAGAGAGACCAGAGAGAGACCTGAGAGAGACCTGAGAGAGACCAGAGAGAGAGACCAGAGAGAGACCAGAGAGAGAGACCAGAGAGAGACCAGAGAGAGAGACCAGAGAGAGAGACCAGAGAGAGACCTGAGAGAGACCAGAGAGAGAGACCAGAGAGAGACCAGATAGAGAGACCAGAGAGAGAGACCAGAGAGAGACCTGAGAGAGACCAGAGAGAGAGACCAGAGAGAGACCTGAGAGAGACCAGAGAGAGAGACCAGAGAGAGACCTGAGAGAGACCAGAGAGAGAGACCAGAGAGAGACCAGAGAGAGACTAGAGAGAGACCAGAGAGAGACCAGAGAGAGACTAGAGAGAGACCAGAGAGAGAGACCAGAGAGAGACCTGAGAGAGACCAGAGAGAGAGACCAGAGAGAGACCAGATAGAGACCAGAGAGAGACCTGAGAGAGACCAGAGAGAGACCAGAAGAGAGAGAGATCAGAGAGAGAGACCAGAGAGAGAGACCAGAGAGAGACCTGAGAGAGACCAGAGAGAGAGACCAGAGAGAGACCAGAGAGAGAGACCAGGGAGAGACCAGAGAGAGACCAGAGAGAGACTAGAGAGAGACTAGAGAGAGACCTAGAGAGAGACCAGAGAGAGACTAGAGAGAGACCAGAGAGAGACCAGAGAGAGAGGCCAGAGAGAGAGAGACCAGAGAGACCAGAGAGAGAGACCAGAGAGAGAGAGAGAGACCAGAGAGAGAGACCAGAGAGAGACCCAGAGAGAGACCAGAGAGAGACCTGAGAGAGACCAGAGAGAGACCAGAGAGAGAGACCAGAGAGAGAGACCAGAGAGAGACCAGAGAGAGAGACCAGAGAGAGAGAGACCAGAGAGAGAACAGAGAGAGACCAGAGAGAGAGACCAGAGAGAGAGACCAGAGAGAGAGACCAGAGAGAGACCAGAGAGAGAGACCAGGGAGAGACCAGAGAGAGACTAGAGAGAGACTAGAGAGAGACCAGAGAGAGAGACCAGAGAGAGAGGCCAGAGAGACCAGAGAGAGAGACCAGAGAGAGACCAGAGAGAGAGAGACCAGAGAGAGAGACCTGAGAGAGACCAGAGAGAGAGACCAGAGAGAGACCAGAGAGAGAGACCAGGGAGAGACCAGAGAGAGACCAGAGAGAGACCAGAGAGAGACCAGAGAGAGACCAGAGAGAGACCAGAGAGAGACCAGAGAGAGAGACCAGAGAGAGACCAGAGAGAGAGACCAGAGAGACCAGAGAGAGAGACCAGAGAGAGAGACCAGAGAGAGACCAGAGAGAGAGACCAGAGAGAGACCAGAGAGAGACCAGAGAGAGACCAGAAAGAGACCAGAGAGAGAGAGACCAGAGAGAGAGACCAGAGAGAGAGACCAGAGAGAGAGACCAGAGAGACCAGAGAGAGACCAGAGAGAGAGACCTGAGAGAGACCAGAGAGAGACCAGAGAGAGAGACCAGAGAGAGACCTGAGAGAGACCAGAGAGAGAGACCAGAGCGAGACCAGAGAGAGAGACCAGAGAGAGAGACCAGAGAGAGAGACCAGAGCGAGAGACCAGAGCGAGACCAGAGAGAGAGACCAGAGAGAGAGACCAGAGAGAGACCAGAGAGAGAGAGACCAGAGAGAGAGACCTGAGAGAGACCCAGAGAGAGAGACCAGAGAGAGACCAGAGAGAGAGACCAGAGAGAGACCAGAGAGAGACCAGAGAGAGAGACCAGAGAGAGACCAGAGAGAGACCAGAGGAGAGACCAGAGAGAGACCAGAGAGAGAGACCAGAGAGAGACCAGAGAGACCAGAGAGAGAGACCAGAGAGACCAGAGAGAGAGACCAGAGAGAGAGACCAGAGAGAGACCAGAGAGAGAGACCAGAGAGAGACCAGAGAGAGACCAGAAAGAGACCAGAGAGAGAGAGACCAGAGAGAGAGACCAGAGAGAGAGACCAGAGAGAGACCAGAGAGAGAGACCAGAGAGAGACCAGAGAGAGAGACCTGAGAGAGACCAGAGAGAGACCAGAGAGAGAGACCAGAGAGAGACCTGAGAGAGACCAGAGAGAGAGACCAGAGCGAGACCAGAGAGAGAGACCAGAGAGAGAGAGACCAGAGAGAGAGACCAGAGAGAGAGACCAGAGAGAGACCAGAGAGAGAGGCCAGAGAGAGAGACCAGAGAGAGCCCAAACGTTTACTTTCTCGGCTTTTAATGTTAAAGAATGAGAAGGCACAGTTTGAAATGTAGCTGTATATTTATATTTGTACATCCTGTAATAAAATATCGTGTGCATAGATCTTACACAAACACATGATAAACATAGCCTGTTAAAGCCCGTTTGAGCCCGTTTGAGACCCTGATGGAGAAGAATCACTGCTTTTATAGTGTGTAGGGGTGCAACGGTTTGAAAAAATCACGGTTCGGTTCGTACCTCGGTTCAGAGGCCACGGTTCGGTTCATTTTTCGGTTCATTTTTCGGTTCATTTTTCTAAAAAAAAGTTTTGTCTTTTTAATAAACACAGCTCATGTGGACTCGGCACCTGCTCTGACTGCCCCCACCTGACCTAGAAATGAATTAAGGGGAAGGAAATGGATGGATGGACGGAAGGCATATTCCATCCATCCAATTATGTCTATTTAACATAATTAATGAAAAACAACACAAAGTGCAACATAAGAAGGCACTTCTTACCCTCATATATTACACCACCTTCCTGATTCTCCCAAGGAGGGGGTCCATTCTGGGCCCAGTCCAGCCTCATTCACTGCATTTATTTAATTTTTGGCATTATCAGTTGTGACTGGGATATTAGTACTGGGCCTTTGTCTTCCATTCCACTGCTGCTTGTGTCAGTACCTGCGCTGTGTGACAGTGTGACTGTCGTAGAGGGGGCGTGTCTGCAGCGCCAGACTTTTCATCTCCCAGTCTGCGGTGATGAAGTGAGCGGTTCCGCTCATGGATCTATTATAGTTTCTGCGGGACGTCCAAGCGTCAGTCGTGAGCGCAGCTGAGGATGCGCGGGAGAGTTGACTTTAGCCCGGTCTGACTGTGCGTAAAGGAGCTGCTTAAATGCCGCGACAATAAGCGGTCGTTGAGACGCTTTTTTCACTCATGTCTTTCTTGTGCCACAGTGCTTACACATCGTGACAGTTTTGTCGAATATTAATTATCAGTGTAGTTACAGTGAAGCCAAAATGCTCTCATACTGGGGATTTAAATGACGCAGGGCTTTCAAGTATCTCCGTTCCTCCGCTCGCAATGACCACGCTGTGTGTGGACTGAACAACGTGCGCACAACTTTTTTTTTCATAAATCAAAC